TAGAGATTAGTATTGATTTACTGTTTTACTCCTAGCAGACAAGAGGCTTCATTGCATTTTAAAGTCACATTCTTACCAAGCATCTCTTCATCTGGAAAGACTGCACCTTGACAGCCTGAATGGCTTCATCCAGGAGTTTTTCCTGTTCATCCTGAGGAGATTGCTGTGTTGTTGGCTGGAAGAAAAAAAAGAAACAGAACTCAATTATTTTTATGAAGCTGTTTATGACTTGATTCAAACTGGGTTCCCGTAGTTTAGAACCCAGCGCAAGTGACACTGCAGTGTGACCACTCAAGAGTTGTCAGAAATAGCTGTGTGATAAGCAAGGGAGAAAGTTCCCACTACTCTGCAAAAACCCGAGGGCAGGGAGGAGATAGGTTATGGGTAGCCTGTGAGCACCACTGCTTCTTGGAGTGCAAAGCCATGGGGCCAGACCAGGGTCAACTTTTCCCTTCTAACATTTAGAGGTCAAGAACCCAGTGCAAGTATCTGGCAAGAAAAAGCTTCAAGAGAATGCAAAGATATCACTATGCTGAGAGGAAACATTGTTACTTCTTTCCACAGAGCTGCAAAGCAATGCCTAGACAGCACACACTGCAACTGTACAGATGCTTTCCTGCACTCACAAGTTCTCAATTAACTGCTATCTGAACCACACAACTCTATTAAGGACAAGTTTCAGATAAGCAAAGGATAAAGTACAGTTAGTGCTTTCTCAAAGATAGAAGCGACTTGCAGAAGGCAATAGAGAACTGAAGAGAAGCAACAACTCTTCATGTCCCCGACTTGTCCCAGTGACCCTCTTCCTCTTACCTCTCCTCAAAGAGGCACATTCCAGGCCTTCAACTTAAACTTTCAACACCTCTTGCCTTTCCAAGGATCATACTGAATTTTCTTATAATATTAATGAAATCCATTGCTTACAGCCTTAGACTCCCCCAACCCAGCTATAATAGGCCTTCTACCACAGCTGCTCCCTGCCCTCTACCAGACTGAGAAGATGAGTTTCTATGAGCATCTTTAGGTTATCCTCCAAGATGTCCAAATTTAATTAGATCAGAACCCCTAAAGCTCTCCCTACCTGCAACCAGCCTTTCTGCTAACACCTTACAAGGAAACACCACCATCCACCTATTGTTTAGGCCCAGTTTTCACCATCTCATTAGAGCCTCCCAGCCTCTCCTAATCTTGCAGTTTGTTTTCAGATGGCCTCTCTGAAATATTGACAGAGATAAAAGCACTGATGTTGCGTCCCAATTACATCTTCTCTAGTCTTGACAAATACCATGTACACAGTGATTCGCAGAGCAGGTTCCCTGAGCCTGCAGCTTCAGTAATTTCTCAACTATTTGTACTTGTCCCCCTCATCCACTGTGTTCAGAAGGTTCCTGGTCTCCTCTTTTTAACTATATCTCAGTAACAAGCTAGCAGACCATGAATTACCTCATCCTAATGTTCTTAAAAACAGTATCTTGGGTACCAACTCCTCCCACACACCCCATGCTTTGGAGTCCCCATAAGTATCTTTTGAGGACAGATTAAAATTGAGGTCTTCATTAAAATAGAGAGGTTTTAGTTTAACAGCAACTTAATGGTTATAGAGCATTGCAGCCTTGACACACCCCATTTTCTCCCATATTTAATTGAGTTCTTGTTCTGCAACTGGAATGTCCCTAAATAAGAGTCGCAGACAGTGTCTCCCCCTTGTTCTCCCCACTATCCTTTTCCACATACAGAAAACAGACAGTACCATGCAATATTGTTCTTGCCTTGATCATGCCCAAATGTACATTTCCACAGTAAATCTCTACCCTTGAAGGTTTTCAATCACCCAGCTAGTCAAAACCAAGACTGATCTGATCTAACAGTGGCGACAATCCTGCTTCAAGCAGGAGGCTATAAGAAATAAAGGTTCCTTCCAACCAACACTTCTATGACTCAACGTGCTTCAGTAATATTCAAACCATGCACAATAACTAATTAACAAGTTTATTTTGTCAACAGAAAAAAACTATCAATTCTAACTAGAGTAACTGCACCTCTTACAAAGTGCTCTCTGCACCTAGTTCACCCTACAACCACGTAAAACCTTGCAAGTAAGGGTGTGAAAAGAAGGCCTTTGACAGCAACACCTTTGACAGCATTTATTGAAACACATAATACTTACTACAGCCCCAAGTGGCTGGCAGAGCACAGGTACATCAGTTTCCTTACCTTTGGTGTGAAAACCACTGGTTAAAGCATAATGGCTACTACGAGTTTGACTACGGTTTAGATGATACGAGTAATGATCTTATCAGAAATATCTAATTGAAGGTATACACTTTCTTATGCAACTTTAACCGCTGTCTTTTAGCAACAGTTGGGGAAATAATGGAATTTTGGAGCTTTGCTCTGTCAGACCTAGCTTTCCCATTTATAATGAGACAGAGTCAGCTTTACATCAGATTCTGTCCGCATCAACAGAAGACATTGACAGTATTTCCATTTCTGCTCTAAATATGAGCAGCAAGGCCCCACACTGTATTCAACACTGGGACTGTAGCAAGTACATGACTGAATTCACCGACAGAAGCATTTCCATGTTACCACAAGAGGTAACATCTGCATCTCTTCAAGATTAAGAGTAAAATTACATTCATATCTGTTCTGATTTGAAGACTGAGAAGGTGATTGGTCTAAACAAAGATGTCTTTACTACAAGGGTACTGCACTTCATCTCTAAAGAAAAGACAACCTCAGCATTTTGCAGTTGCGCAGGCCGTGAGATAACCTACCACTGATTGTAACAAACACAACCAAAGCAGTCTCAGGTGCTGTTTGTAGCAGCTTTACTTCTACATGAAGAGAACACATCTTAACAGCAGCACCACCGAACAAGTTTCAACTCTTTCTTACTTTTCAGTTTTCAAAGCCTGAATATTTATGAGCTTACACTTTTCTTTCTACTTCAGAAAGCAAGCTACTTTCAGCTTCAGAACCGTAGAGCATTTCTGCACATAACCTGGTTATTAGCAAGTGATACACAAGATCACATCAAGATACACGTTTCCTGATACATATGCCTGAAGTTTGAGGAACTTGTAGCACAAAGCAACTGAAGAAAAGAGAACATACAGCAAAAGCCTACCAATGACAGTCAGCAGGGCACACACCAAACCAGACATCAGTTCTTCTATCAGATACAACGTGGAATAAAGCTGTTCATTTTCTGTATCGTCCACTTTAAATGAGGAACCTAATAACACAAGATGGTATTTTCAAGTCTTATTTTATAAAAAAATGCAACTTCGCTGTGGAGTCCTATGCCAATCTACAAACAAGAATCTTGAACATAAGCTTTTGAAGTGGAAGATCCTTTGACACTGGAGAAAAGCAGCAGTACTCTGTAATCAAGGCACAGAATGTCCTGCCTTGTCAACAGCACATACAATAAGGTATAAACTCCTGCATGAACACAAGATAAGAAATTTATAGCAATTATGCAGCCATTTAGACTTTAGAAATGCCTGATCCTTACCCCCCATTAGATACACTGCAAATGTTGGAGAAAAAAAGGAGAACTGATGTGAGCAGAGTTTTCTGCTTTACTTGCTCCCTAATCTTTTTTCCTCTGAAGCCACAAGGGAGCAAGTGAGCAGTGGAGAAGGGACAGAGAGCTGCCTCTTTCAGCTGCACTATCAGTTTCTGTACAAGAGACCATAGCCTTTTTCTAGCTTTGAAGAAAGGATTGTCACAAGTTGCCACATGCAAGTTATGGAAGTCACAACACTCAGCAGCTGAATTTGGCAGGCAGATGAGGAGAGATGGCTTTTGGCATGGGTTTTTGTGTGTGTGGTTTTTTCTTTGCTTGTTTCAGGTTTTGTTTCTTTGGTTTTTTTTAAATAAAGGCTAGTAAACTGTAAATTGCCTGGGAAAACAATAATTTTTTTAAACCCCGAACTAGCTTGGAAGAAGTCTACTGCCTGGCTGATCAGCGTGGGTAATACAAGTTATCCTACCAATAACGATTAGAAAAGTGTATTATCGCAGCAGCAAACATTATTCTGGACCATGCCTATTCCCATAACAGCAACTCTTCTTGAGCATACAAAGTGAACATTACACTTATTGTGTACGATTTACTTATTTTCCAACACTCATCTTCATGGGAAGACTTCATAAGATTCATACTTAGTTTCATGCTTAAGACTTAGCTGCACTCTGAAGATGGTTATTATTTTGGGTAAATGTGTTGACCAGTTAAGATGCTCGTTCCACTTAAAAATCTAGTAAATTGCAGTACTCAAGAGAAAGAATTATGTAGTATTGAAATACAGCCGAATTCAAGGCAAGCTTGCAGAGCCTACCAAATATCTTGTATTCTGGCGATACAGGTAACTTAAGCTGGATGCAGAGTATAAATAATACAAAGTAGAAGGTTTTGCTTCTGTTCCATTCTAAAGTGCATTTTCTTCCAATCTCCAAATGATTAAGTACTTTTCTTTAGATAACTGATGTGCTTACAGCCTATTCCAGACATGACTTTTCCTTCTGTTTGCTCACATGCTTGTGTGTAGTACCACAACGAATGAGATTTACCCAAGGAGGTTTTTCTGCATCCTCCTAGTTGGACTTTATTAGGACTACCTACCAATAAGTCACCACTGAGACATTTAAAATGAATGCTACCCAAGATAGAAGATGAGTTAGCTACAGAAGTGGACGGGGACAACTGCCAGCCGACAGATGAAGCCTGGGTGCACGCAATGCACTACTGTAAAAGTTATTGACCTACTCAGAATTAACAAAAACCGCACAAACATTTTGTACCACATAGGAAGCATTATTCCACAATACTGAAGGCAACTCCAGAACTTCTATTATATCTCACAATATAGGAGCTCAAAGATGAACCAGAGAGAAGAAAACATTTTTCACATGTTTAAACTGGTACTTACTGCCACAGGAAGCCACAAGACATTAACAAGAATTAAGGGGCTGGACCTTTTATTCAGGAGATGACCAAGAACACCCTCTTAAAATCAGTCTTGTCAAAGGTACTTAAACATTCAGCTTCAAGGTTTAAACCAAGCTTGGCCATAGGAAATGGCAGTGAAGCCTAATGTGGTAGAGGAGATTAACATGTTTAACATCTGTAAGTTTATTTTTTCTGAATCACCTGATATCAGTTCCCATGGAAGTGACAGGCAGAGGGAAGTTGTGTCATTCTTGAGTTAATGACTACCACAAAGTACTTATGTGGGGGACAGAGACTGCTACCTATGTAGATTTAGCATTTCTCATCCCCCAATTAAGTATTTTCCATTCATTTTTCAAGTAACGTTACAGGTTTTGCCTCCACACACACCTCTAGAGGGTAGAGCATTAAACTTACACCAACATACACATAACTTAAGAAAGAAAGTCTGCCCCAAAAGCCTAGGAACCATGCAATCCCTGCTTTATAAAGCACTCAGTTTTTGTATCACTATCTAGATACTGTTAGTACTGTTTACGCTCCACTGTGATGGTTATAACAAGTGCTGCTTAAAATTTTATTGAATATTAAATACCACATAAGACTAAACAGGTAGGCTTTCCAGTTTTACTAGGAAACTTGATTGCCCCCTTACTTTTATTGAAAATTGAAAAGCATTTCTCAATAAGAGCTATTTTCATGCTGAAATTTCAGGTTTCCCTCTCGGATAAACACCAACATCTGTTCCAAAACAGCTCTATCGGGCTGGGCCCACCGGTGCAAAGCCACCTTTTCTGCAGGAAGAGACAGGAGGTTCCCTAGGGAAGTCTGAAACAGCAGTCCTGGAGGGTCAGGAAGAGCTGAACAGCAGACTGCAAGGTGGGCAACACGAGCACACGGGCACAGCACGAGAGACGACGCAGCCTCGCGCTTATGACAGGAGCAGCACGCTAAAATACACTTCAACTCGGACCGCAAGTGCAGCAGCGCTTCCCTAATAAAAACACCAACCTCCCCCGCGCCCCTACAAGCAAACTCGGTTGAACCCGGTAAAGCAGTGACTCGCACTGACCCGCCGCAGCGGCGGGGCGGGCCCCCCCCACCGCGAACCCGCACGGCGGGGACAAA